TTAGCAACGCAATATAAAAGGATAGACAAATTGGATTGTGCAGGAGTTTACTGTATATAATGCGACGCGTGCGAACATTAATATATTGGAGAAACAGGGAGAAAGATTAGCATACGAATCAAGGAATATCAAAGGCTCTGCAGTAAAACGGATACCGAAAGATCAGAACTAGAGGAACACATCGCACAGACTTAACTCGAAATCAATTTGAAGGCAACAGAAAGGAAAGTTTCATACGGTGACAACACAAGGAAGCGGAAGATTAGGGAGGCTATTGACATGCATGGGAATAAAAATCGAATGGACACGAGATTGAAGGAAGGTAAAGTTAGTTATAACTTTATCTACTGCCTAAACAAACTCGGGAAAAACAAGAATAGAGCAAGACGAGCAGAAGGGAGACGCCTGTAACAAGGATCTATCCCTAACCGGAGGCAAAGGAATAGCGATGAGGAAATTTGGGAGGAGGGAAGTTTCTTCAGTCAAGTGAAGATGTTGTCAGTGCGTGATGTCCGTTTCGAGTAAACCAGTACAACTTTGGAGGTCTGGCAGTCAGAGAGATGGGCAGACAGATAAGCAAACCGTCACGGAAATTCGGCATTATGGACAAAATGTGCTAGAAATCCACTTGTGATGCCACATGCGACCAGAGATAGGCGTCCACAGTTTGCTCAGATAAAATGGGTTTTTTCAAGAAGACGACTCGTTAATGCAATGCCTTAGATCTACAAGTATGGGAATCAGAGCCTAAGCGCTCTGCTCGGCTCGGTAAGGGGCTATGTACGTGGTTCTAGGGCCTTGAGAAATGGCCCCTAGAGTGAAATGCACACTGGAATTGGAACCGAGTGAAATCGGTCAACCAGATAAAGAAGGGACGGATCTACGAGACCATGAGGGGATCCGGATTGTAGGAAAGAGTCGGATTAGCCGATCGAAAGAGTAAGGATCGGGCGAATAGCAGGTGTGATGAGGCCACACTATATTTGCAACAAAAGGTCAAACATTTTGACGAGTGTAAGTTGTGATAGGGCAGCAGTGGAATAGGAGGGTAAAGAGTAGATAGATAGGCCAAGACAGAAAGAGGAGTGATAGTGTAACCGTTTTCGGGAAAACGTTTGCCGAGGGATTGACCTCACTTGTCTCTGATGAATTAGTAGCTTGGTGCGCAGAATGGCAAAACTCACTGATGCTTCCGACTACGATGCCGGCGAAACTTTTGAGAATGTACCAAGTTCACTGTCTGATGCTAGGAATTATGAAAACTACTATGGCAGACGACTTAGACTAGGTGCGTTCTACTAACTAGCCCTGACAACAAGGCCAAGTTTCGACAACTAGGTCAACCCACTACAAGCAAGGCTATTGCCAATGACATAAATCGACATATCTTACTTAGGCTAAGAAACTAATTGAATGAGTATAGAAGATGTTATAAGACAGACATTAGATAGGCAAATAATTTTATAAATTTATAGCAAAGAATATATGCAGTTATGCTGATTGTCAAGCCGTTAGCTAGGTATCTTGTTTGGTGAATAAGCAAGCAAGACAACTGAATGAATTGGCTCGATTAAAAAGGTGATCAATGCCTTACTTATTTGGTCGATCTTTATGCGGTCTAATGACGGGTCTTCGTGAATTGCGATCTAAAATTTGCCGTTGTTGGATCATTCGATTGAGCAAGAGAATCGCCGATTGGCAGGCAGCATGCTCAAGACAGAGACTGACCTGATTTAGTGAGAGATCAATCTCAATGTGAGCAGAGTGTAAGGTTGGACGAATTAGCTGAAGTTAGAGAAAAACCAATGGTTGAAAAAATAGTATTGCAAGTTATGAAAAAAATTTACTGTGTGAAATATTCATTGAATTAAATTAATAAAATATTAATAAAATTAATTTTTCGTATTTAAAAAATTTTCTTTAAACAAAACTTATTGTAATTATAAAATCCCAAAGATGAAATGTGTGTGCTTATAGACCTTAACTGTTAATGGGTCTCAAAACTTTGGAACTAATGCAAAAAGCAAGGATAATCGAAACAAAATGCATTTACAGCGTCCGACTGTGAACTTGGTACATTCCCAGACGTTTCGCCGGCATTGTCAGTTAGTTTCTCTAGGTACCCCCTGCCAACATGACCACGTTACGGAAGCAAGACATCTAAAGGAGACTGCGACCAAAATAGTGGCCATCCCAGCTTGGTATTCGTAACGAAGTTCATTAGATAGTCTAAACCAGTCACAGACAGAATACTAGTTAAATCAAATAAACGAATTCGACAACCAAACGTTAGAGATAATTCATGATTATTAAAGTTCCTAATCAATAATAGCTAATTTATGATTAGAAAATTCAGAAAGTAAATACGAGAAAAAGTAAAATAAGCAGAAAAAAAGCATTAGTTGTCGAATGAAATTTCATTTAGTGTAAAAAACGTGTAATCGAGCTTTTAAGATGATATCAGATTACAATTGTTCTGCCATTGTTTGATTTAATTGGAGGTTCAGGATAATTATTAGTCCATGAGTGCACCTATTCCGGTCCCTGCCAAAACATATTGACTCTGTTTATTATGTAATAACTTTATGTATTTGACTTCATAGTTATGAATTTCCCTAGCCCAGCAAATAAATAATAAATACATAATCATCATATACTCTGAAATGAGATGAAATTTAACTCAATTAAATATATAAGGGTAATCCAAGCCCAGTTAAAATAACCACTTGAAAAAAAATCCGGTACAGCAGAGAATAAAAAGATTTTGGATTGACAAGTGTGGCCAGAAAAGGGTAGATTTTAGACTCATTTTACATAACATATAATTAATCATTTAGTTAAACAAGAAAATATTAAATGTTGTTTAAACTTGTTTTCGCAAGTTGGTGATATTGGTAGGAAGAGTTAGAGGAACGAACCTAGTCCGGAGTCCGTTGTATGTATGATAATGCCCAAAGTCAAACCGTGGACGTGGTACATTCCCAGACCTTTCGCCGGCATCGAAAGTAAGTCTACTACTCTTAGCACCACGCTATAACTCGTCAAAAAGACAAATAAAGCCGATCCTTTGACAAAATGTGTGCTAAAGCGTTGTAGTATCTCTCCTGCCTTGGGATATTCACATTAAATTTATCCTCGTATCACGGCTTTACTATCACTAATTTTTCCTTGCTTATTTAAATGTAATATGAGATAGTAGTCTCGAAATTCTACTTAAACATGAAAAATATTTAAATGTAGTTTGGTGTGCCCTTTTAAGCGGCTTTCATGATAACCCCCCACACTCCACATTTGCGTTCTCATACCCCTTCACTTTTGTGCTGACAATGTTGACCTGAGTTTGCCATATTGTTACGCAATTCTCCTTCCCTAGGTCTTATCAGTCTCTCTCTTGCCATGTAGGATCCGTCTGCTATCTCCCTGGTTCAAGTATCTCACTCGACTCCTGCCACCCCATTTTATGCTACTCGTGGCGTTATTTTCCACAATCTGTCTCTGGGACAGTAACTTAGGGTTAAAGCCCCTGAGTAATTCTCATTGTTAAGCTATTGCTTCATGGAACACGTCTATGATCAAACAGGCCTACTGTCAGCCAATAGCTCCAGTCTCCACCGTGTCTATCCTGCTTCTCTCCATGATACCAAATCTATCACTTGCTATGCCTTAGTCCCTTGTATTCCAATCCACAAATGATGTGGTACTGCTTGATTTGATTAAGTTCAACTTTAAAACACAATATTTGTGAGTTGGTACAGAAGAGACTAGGGCATAGCAAGTCATAGATTTGGTATTACGTATAGAAGCTGGAAAGACACGCCGGAGAATAAAGCTAGTGGACTAAAAATAGACGTGTTCTATGGATTACGTGTATGATGAAACACGTCTATTAATAGCCAAAGAGCTCTAGTCTCCACCGCGTTTATCCTGCTTCTATCCATAATACAATTTTTATCACTTCATATGTCCTAGACTCTTGTATGACAAGCCACAAATGTTGTGGTTCAACATTGAACCTATTCTAAGCAAGCAGTACCACAACATTTGTGAGTTGACACACAAGAGTCTAGCGCATGGCAGGTCATAGACTTGGTATTATAGATAGAAACAGGATAGATACGGCGGGGACACGAGCTAGTTGGCTGACGGTAGGTCTGTTATACCAGAGACGTGGTACATGTAGCAAAGGGATAACCATGACACTCAGAGGCATGCGCCTCGAATTAGTCACCTAGATGTAGGGGAGGGCGAATAACGCCTCGAGTAGGACAGATGTGGTGGCAAGTGGTAATGTCAAGTGAAATAGGTGAACAAGGTGTAGAGCAAACAGATTTTAAGGAGCAAGAGAGACTGGGATAAGACTAAGGTAGGATGAAAGGGAGGGAGAACGACAGTTGGAGTGTGAAGGTTTCATGTCGCTCAAAGGAGCACACGACACTATATATAAACAAACACGGTAAAATTGTAATAGTGAAGGCATGATAGGATGCTACCGAAAACGCAAATAACATAGGGCAGAAGGGGAGATACCACAACTGTTTAGCACACGTTTGTTCAAAGTATCGGCTTCACTTGTCTCTTTGACAAGTTGTTGTATGGTGCTAAAAATGGCAAGACTCACTGACAATGCCGGCGAAAAGTTTGGGAATGTACCTCATCCGCAGTCCGACTTTGGAAATGATGATGCATACAATGGACTCCGGACTAGGTGCGCTCTTCTAAGTTTTCCTACAAATATGACAAATTTGCGAAAACAAGGTCAAACAACATCTATACAACGAAAGGAAACTGCGACCACACAAAAGACCACACCATCTTGGTCTTCATATCTTCGAATAAAATATTAAGTTTTATGGTACATAGATTCGACCATAACTAGGTTGATTGCAAAAATATATTTTTATTGACTTAGGGGTAGGTTCCTTCTATTGCCATCTCCGTAATGCCGTATTCACCTAATTAAATCATGTTTTCTTGATTTATAGGTTCGACGAAATAATGGCACAATAAAGAGGAGGCTTTCAATAGATTAATATTTTATTAAGCAATGGTCTCCTTCTCCCTAACCTAAATTTTAGCATAAGATAAAAAAATTTCCTCCCGAAATTAGTAGATCTAGCATCTTTTTAAGGAAGACAAGAATAGCTATTTAAAGATAAAAGTATGGAAATAAAAAATAAACTCGAATTTTTTATTTGCTAGAACGGAAGATACTCAACAAATTCAGTTTAAAAATTAAAATCTTATTCCAAAATCATTACAACCGGAGTGATACAATTTCCTTCAAGTATTAAATAGTTAGGTCAAAATAATGTTCTACATCAATTTATAGGCAAATATTATTAAAAGTGATATGCGGCAAACTAGGCTAACAAACCAAATAAGAAAACACGCTGAAGCGTTAATAGCCAAAGATTTCTATGCAAATGTGAAAAATTGATTATTCGTCATATATTGACTATATTAAATAGAGGAGAAATGGACGGTTACGTTATGGAGATCTTCCAATGAGTATACTCACTCTTTCTAATGAAGACGATGATCTGGCCAAAAATGTCGGCGAGGTAGTCGTATCCGATTGGTCATAAATTGAGGATGAATGACTCTTGACAGTATCTGCTTGTTCAAGTAATTTCAACGAGTCAAATGACGCAGCTGCATCTTCGTTAGTTTCAGCTCTATTCGCCCTTGTGTTCAGCTGATGACTAAGCTGGCGGCGCAAACGTCCAAGGAGGTGAGTAGCAGGCAAGAGATAGACAGGTGAATCTTTTTGATCAGCCTAGACCAATGAATAGGAGGTAAGGATAAGATAAAAATCGTCATGTTAGGATGATAACTAAAATCATTTTGAAATAAATCGTTGTCCAATAAATTCAAAGCTAAGAATATTCCAATTTGATTCTAATTGATACGCCTTTTTAGTGCAGCACTAAAGACACGAAGAGTTTAGTTTTACCCAGAGACAGAAAAAAACATCTCAACAAGGTAAAGTTTAATTTAATTAATAGCAGTTAGATATGGCATAAAGTGAAGTTCAAATGTATTGTCAAAATACATTAAATTGAGGTAAAGAAGCAGTAGTAAGGAAATATGCAGCATGAACAACTGATGAGATGTAAAAAAGCAATAAATAGAAGACAAAATATCAAGTTCAACATTAATGTCCTCTATGGAAATAGGTGTGAGTCTTTTAGACAGCTGTACAGGGAAATAAATAATCGGCAAATGTATGTAATAATGAAATATAACAAACCATTGATAAGTTTAAAAGTTAATATCCGCAATTTAAAGTGAAAAAAATATATCCAACTAAATTCTGGCAAATTTTATACAACATTCCAGGTGGCTCTCACTTTAGTGTCGCCAGGCTGCCAGTAGATGCAAAATCCAGTAACAGTCAGCAGCTTAAATTCCGCATCGGCATCTTCAGGCAATTGAGTAGACTCCTCCTAAACATAAGGCAAATATGAAATAAATGAGCAAAGGGCCAAATGTCAATGTCCAGGTCAATAAAATATTTCATATACACTATTTCATAATAATATGCTTATCCAATAGCATACATATTGCTAAAGGATTCCCCTGTCCTGGTCATAATCAACAGATTTAAAAAGCAAATACAATAAGCTTCCTACTAATTCAAGTTGATAATGAGTATGCCAGAATTTAGATCAGTATGGCAGTAGGGTATAATAATATCCTACACTTTATGCTCTTCAGCTTGCCCACTCTGAGAGAGATTACAATATACGCGATATACCTCGTTTCTGGGAATATTCTAGTGGAAAATTATGTGGCGAAATGAGATTTATCTTTAATTCATTATAGACATATAGACAATCACTTCCTTAAGCATGATCTAAGGATGGCACACATCTCGTTATAAAGGAAATTTCCAGAGATTTGAAGATCCAAAGTCTCAGCTAATATGATATAAGCAAGAAGGGTACTTTTTAACAAATTATATAATAATAACTCGTAATGATTTAAAGTTAGTTTAACCTAATCTTCGCAAATTAGTCAAAAGAAAAAGAAAACTTGGTGGAAAATTCCCAGTCCTGAGTCAAGGTCAAACTATTTATACTATTTTTCAGCATCAAACAGGAGCTATGGTATGTTCAAGGCCGTTTCACCGGTATCGTCAGTGATATTGGCCTTTCATTAGAGATGCCGATTAGGATTCTAAAGAAAAATCGGGGGATATGCAGTCGTTAGAAATTATGAATGTCACGAAATCTTCC